TCTTTATGTCTTCCCTCTGCTACGGTCTTTTTGAACCTGTAGTTCCCAGCTTGCAGAAGTCTTTATACCTAGTAACAAATCATCATTTGCTCTCCCTTTTGCCAAATTAAACAGAAGAAAACTCTCTTTTTGGTTGCATAAGATGTTTTAATTGTATGTCGGTTCTCTGCAACGTCTGTGTTTTCAGCATCTCATATGATAGTGGGTACCACAGCTGTGTGAGTGCTAGTTTCTCCAATGCAATGTAAAATTACTTCCCTCTTGTTGTGTTGCTTCCCTGAAATGCCACAATATCAGAGAGAAATCTCATTACTTTCCCCTCCATCTATAAATCCCATCTCATCAAAGACAGCCCTTCTGACTGAAGAGCTCCAACATCTGGGACCACATCAGTGCCAAGAACACCTGAACCCAGGGGCTGGTGAAGAGGACAGGGGTGGCTCTCACACACGTGGTGGCCTCATTGCCCAGCCCTGCAGCCAGAGCAGCATTTCCAACTGTCCAGGTGTAAACTTACACCCTTTCCCAATGTGGGAAAGGCCAGTCTGTTGAAACCAGGGCAAGTGCAGTTCTGCTGCTCCTTTTATAAATCATGTGGGAAGCTCTCTAATTCCACCCTGCGGCATTTACATGTTTAATCCACTTTTACTGTTTTTTTGAGGTTTCTCACAAATGCTTCTGCCTCAGGAGATCCTGCCCAAATGTCGCTGCCACAGTACAGCCTGACCTTTTCCTGAAAATGTTGTGTTGCCTTTGTCACAGCTCCCAGGTGTTCCCTGCTCACACTTCAGGGTGAGACGTGCTCACAGACTCCTGCAGTATGAAGGCAAATTACCGAGACAAGTTGTTTATTTCAAATGGCATCTTCTGGCTGTGATTTGGATCCTGCTGCAAGATTTCAGTGGATAGAACTGGTGTAGGGTCCCTCTGAACTCAATTACTTCTAAATCTTACAAATGTTTTTTGTGTTAACAAAATCTCTTATTTTTTGAAGAAAATTAAGTGAGGTCACTAGAGGTCTGAGTTTCTTCTTGCCTGCGAATGGAAGCAGGATTCAGTTCCAAACAGAAAATCTTTGCTGGAAAAAGTACTGATGCTGTCTTGGCAGCCTCAGTACAAAAGCTGGCCAGGGGTCTGGAGAGGGTTCCTTGGCTGTTCAGTACAGGTGCCCCTGTATTGAACTCAAATGCAAGAAAAGATCCGTTTCAATAAATCTCTTCTAAGGTCTGTCAGTGATTTGTCCTCTTTCCTCCCCTTTCTCCTCTCCCTCTGCTACAAACATCCTTTCCATTCTGCTTTTTCAAGTGTTCCCAGCCTCTTCTTGTGTGTCAGGAAGCAGCATGGGGGAAGCACCCCTTTGCAGGGCAGTCAGGGTGGCTGGGCCACCCAAGGGACAGGAGGCAGCACCTTGGCTGAAGTGAGCAGTTATTCCAGTGGAGAAACATGTTTGCATTGAAAGGGTAATCAGCCATTCGTCCAGGAGAGTTAAACAATAGGGACAGAGATTTGGTTTTCTCCAGTTGTTTCCCAAAGAAAAATGATTTATTTCTTCTCTCTCAGATTTATGTCTTCTCTCTGACTATTGGATGGCTACTGAAGAGTTCATTAGAGACACCCTTGCAGCTGCCAAAAGAACCAGCTGGATTATTGAGCCTGCAGCTCATTTTTTCTGCCTTTGTTCACTTCCTACAGTGAAGAACTAGTTTGCAATCCTTGTTTGTGCTGTCTATCCCACATGGTGGGGGACTGCTCTGTGCAGAGTGTCTGTCCCCAGCCCAAAACACTGTCCCTACTCATTGTGATGACTTCTGATGTTAAACTCTGGAGCACACCTTGCTCCCTGTGCTGCCTGTAGGTACCACAACAATCACACACTCATTTCACACTGAATTTTGGCAGCAGTTGGTTTTGTGGTCCTGTGTCCCTTGCCAGGGGATGTGCAAAGCCCAGCACAGCCCAGAGATGTGGGGCCCAAGAGTCTGAGTGTGCCCAGGACTGGCCCATCCTGCGTGTCCCACGTGTGCAGACCAAGGACAGAGCTGCTGTTCCCTCATTGCCTGGCAGGGGCTGTGGACTCCCCCAGTCCCAGGAGGTTGTTGACTGCAAAAAGGATTCAATGTCACGCAGCTTGCCAGGTAGGCTGACAAATCCATAAGTTTCCCGAGGCAGTGAATAAATAAAACAACTTCTGATTCATTGTGGGGAGCCAACCCTTTCTGAGAAGGAGGAGGAGAGGACTTTATTTCTTTACAAAGTGAAGCAGAAGGGTGGTTATAGAGTGTGAACACCAGAGAAGATTTCGGGGTAGCTGTAGTTTATTTGGCCACAGATTGAAATTTAACTTAAAGCAATGCCTTCAGTCTAGAATTAACTAGGAAGAGCTTCTTGCCTTATTCCAGAAAGCTATTGGTAAAAACGCATGATCAAGTGCACTGCAGGCGCTTGAAAACCATGTGCAAGTATGCAGGGATTTATGTACCAAATATGTGTGTGTATTAATGCACAAACCCTATGCAAGTATCCACCCAAACTCAGTCCCTGGTGATCAAAATCCTTTTATCCCCTGACCTGTGATGGGAGCTGTGTTTATTCCTGGCTGAAGATGTGAGCACTGCTGGCATTAATTCCATCAGGCTGTTCTGTAAATTCTTCATCATCTCCTGCACTGCTGTCAGTTATTTGCATTGTAATATCTGACTGAAAACCTGAAAATTAGATTTAGGGGGAACTGGACACTGAAGCACTTTGCTCAGGTGATAATTTCATTTACTCTTAAGACATTGCTTACACCTAAATGTGAACATATCCTCTGTTCCTCCATAATACACACTCCCAGGGACATCTCATTTAATTTGATTTTAAAAGTGTAATTTTAAATGTCTGAGCAGCTGGTGGACAAAAATCATTGGATCAACTTTGAGAAATAAAGTGCCAGATTCCCTGGGAACACCCAGTGACACCACTGTGTTACAGCACAATATTAAATAGACTAGAGGTTTCCCAACTGGCTGCAGGAATCTGTGCATTAAAATTTAAAACACAATTGTTATTTGTGAAGGTGACAGGGATAACACTGACCTGGATTTTCTGTATCAAGCATGTCTCTACTTAATTGGTTTCAGTCAGGATTTTCAGCTAGTCTGGTATGCATTAACCACAAACTGTGGTGTCTGGTGAAGCAGCTTTTCTTTTTGGAAACACAGATGTGTGTTCTGGTGCTCTGAATTAGTGGGGTTACAGTAATTCCTTGTGATGCCAGGGTGGAAGTTTCACCATGAGTCACACCATAGTTGACATCTGGGCTCTGTTGCCCAGCTGGCAGGACTGGAGCTGTGGAAGCCTTCTGCAATATGAAAGTTTTAAAAAAATGTCTAACTTGTCATGGGCTCTGAACTCATCATACAGCTCCTTATTTGCCCTCCCCATACAAGCTGATTTTTTTATTTTCCCTAAGAAAATGAGAGGGGAAAGGATTCAATTTAAGGATCAAATTGTACCTTTCTCATTCAATATAGAATTTTGCATATGAGTACATTTTTTTTCCTTTTTTTATCCAGATTTGCATGTTCTAAATGAGCCCTTTGGATTATCATGGCAGTTATTGGTACAGAGGGAATTTATAGGCACTGAGAAATGCCTGTAAGAAGAAGTGTCATGCGCACACATGAGTGCATTATCTGCAGGGCTTTGGGAACCTGCTGGGGTTTGCTAGCACGTGGGAAAAAAACACACCAGAAAATTGAGAAACTAGGTCATCTGGATTCATTTGCTGCATCTTTGCAGCTGGGCTTTTGTTGCTGCTCAGACTGACATATCCGAGCTCGCACAGACTGTGCTGCAGCAGGATTCTGTGGCCTCCTCCACGCCTGCTGTCCCTGCACTCAGCGTGTTCAAACGCCTGGGTGTCTGGAGGGCCCAGCCAAGGGCAGGGTTGTGTGGAGCGGGCTGTGAGCTCTTAGGAGCAGTAAGAGGCTGCCTCTGCCTCAGTGAGGGTCCCTGCAAGGTGCTACAGGGAAAGGCACTGGCACACAAGGGGATGTACTCAAGCTCCGGCAGAGCGGTTGTCAGAAAGAACAGCCAGCTGTGGGTCCAGGTGTGCATTCACCTCCCTGCACTGGTCTGCCTCTCACTTCATGCTTCTTTGGCTACTTGTTCCTCCATTCCTTTTTCTTCTAGACAGCACAAGAGCCTCTCCAGTCTAGGCTGCTTTTCTTCCTCCATCCCAAAACCTTCCTGAAAAATTTGCCAGACCGTTTTTGGGGCAAGTACTAATTTGGTGGCTGGGCTTAAATTCAGTATAATCTCATTCTATTGGTAAATAATGAGCAGAAAGACTAAACTGTGAAGCTGAGATTATAAGGAATAAGTACATTGCTTGTTTGCACAATGCCAACAATGGTTGTGTGCTAGAAACAACCATTCTCTCATCACATGAATATATTTTCGTACTGTTAATTTTCCTGTACAAAAATTTTATTTTCTCCTGTGTCAAGGAAGTTTGGTTTCATTCCAAGTGCCCAATGGGTTTTCTCTCCTGTAATTGGATTATTTAGGGAATGAGACTGTTATGGGCTGTGCACATCTTGGTCTGTCCTTTCCCCTTCCCTGAGAACTTGTGATAGGAGGGGTGGAGAGCCACTAAGGTTTAAAGTTCCTCTGAGCTGAATGTACATCAAGAGCTCCCAGAGAAGAGATTCTGTTAGCACCCTGCTCTATGGTGAGAGCATAAGTCACAGATTCTCCCCTTACTAAGCTCTTGAGATCCCCACAGGGCAGGATTGTTGTGTCCCAGCTGAAGAAGTTTTGGTCAGGCCTGTGCTTTGGTTAGCACCAGGGTCATACAAGACATGATTTCTCCTTGCAGACCCATTTTATTGGCTGGTTCAAGTGAACAGTGTGAGTATTCTTCAACTTGTAGTCTTCTGTAGAAGATGCAGACTGTATCAGAGCAACAGACGATATACCAAGCACAACACATATTTTATCATCTTTTATTTTAGGTGGAAAAACTGGCAAAGTACTTGGACCCGAATGATTTGGGAAGAATCAATTTTAAGGACTTCTGTCACGGAGTTTTTGCTATCAAAGGTATGTGCATATTTCTTAAAAATAATCCAGTTCAGTTCCACTAATGTTTCTCTGGTTGCAGAAAATGTAATGATCAAAGACATCCTCTCTTTTAACTCTGGTTATTTGTAGTGACAGTAGAGCAGCTCTGGGAACAGAGCCAGGATATTTTTCCATTTTCCATACATGCATCTCATGTATTAATGGTGAGCAGTGCTAGAGTTCCTGCATCCATAGGTGCTTGGGCATTGGTTTACTGCTAATTTTTGTCAGAATAAATGTGTTGTGGTTTAAAGACAAATACAGCAGAAGAAAGAGTAGCTTTGTGGTTGACAGGGCCCAGGTTTGATACTTCCAGATTCTGATGGGGTTCTGCCACTGATTTACCTCAGGGAGTTAGGGAGCCCTTGGGCTTTCAGTTCTCTACTAGGAAATTTAAGACTATTAAATTGGCCTTGAGGTATCTGAAAGGTATAATTAATTCATGTTGTTAGGGTACTTGGGTTCATGTATTGGAAGGAAGAAAGTTAATTACAGGTTGGTGATGAAAACCCTGAAGATTGAGATCAGGTGGATCCAACCACCTCCTTTCCGAGGAAACAGTCCTTGACAGAAGACACAGATGTGGTTATGCTTTAGAGCTTAGCCTAAAGGCAACAAAAAACCAGTGAGGAGGGACTTCAGCTGATTTGCTGCTGATTGCTTTTCCCATAGTGAAATAATCCATCTATTCTGGACATGTAGTGTGTCCTTTCTAAAGTGTTGGAGTGAAGTCATAGCCCAGAGGCTTCACTCAGGGACAGGGTGAATGTCACAGTGATCGTGGTATGGTTCCAGGAGAAGCCTCTGGAGAGTCTTCTCTGATGAGATTATTATGAAGCTATAATGATGCAAAAAACGTAAAACCACGGTACTGTTAATTAAAGTTTATGGCTGCCAAAGACAGTGTATAATTAGGTAAAATTACATTGAGAGGCTGCTCTTATCAATGTTTTTGGAGACACCGTCCAAGGTGACACTGATGTGTTTGAAGAGAAGGCAAGAGAAAGCCCAGGAGGAAAGTTATTACATTTGTGCACAGACCTAAAGTCTTTTATTACATTTGTGCACAGACCCTAAAGTCTCTGCTTGGGGTTTTCCTTGAGCAGAAAATGCTGTAGCAAACTGACTTCTAGTTTAGGTAAGATACAAGCTCTGTAAATCATCTGGTGTCTTCTGTAATTCACAGTCTAAAGATTGCACAAATGCACAAAATATGATCAGGAAGGGATAGAAATGACCCAGAACATCTCTTCTGTGGTAATTGTGCCCTTCTCCATGTACCAGCAGTGATGGAGTGGGCAGCTGCATCTCCTTTACTGTGGGGACAGCGTGAGAATATTGAGTTATCAGTCATAAGGCCTTGGGGGTTTTCATGCTTGCTCACCTTGTGGGAGCTAATTCTCGTGTTCATATCCTAAGGTTTAATCCTGCAAAGATATGACCAGGACAAACTGGTGTACCTTGCACTCCAAGTTTATGAATAGCTTAAAGCCCAGCTGTGGAGCATGTAGGGTCCAAATCATTTGTGTGATGGTTGTTAGGATGTATCTGTGAACAGATGTAGAGAAATCATCCAGTTCTGCAGCATCACCTAGAGCTCCCTTAGCACATCATTAGCATTTCAACACTTTCACAGACTCAGTGCTAAGTGTTTATCATCCAAGCAGCAGCAGCTGTATCTATTTCTGATAAGACACTGTGCTGCATGTTTTCACAGCTTCTCTTTAGAAAAACTGTTTCTATTGCTCGCCTCATAGCATGGAAATTTTATTCATCTTTGGCTACCTGCCATTTTTTCTTTAAAAATTAAATTGGTTATGTTAAAGTTCAGAAAGGGCATGTCTGCCTTTCAGAATGGAAAGCCTCCACCATGTTGTTTTAGTGCAGCCACATCCCAAGGGGAGTAGCAGGCTTATTATCAAACAAAAGCAATTTGTTTTGGCAGCAACAGATTATAAATATGATTCTTTGACATCTCAGCCTATTACAATTGCTTGGGGCAGTCAGATTAATAGAGCAAAATGAGATGCTACTATAAATCCACTGGGGTTTTCAGTAATAGAGTATGAAGTTATGCTATTCTTAGCAATGGAAGCCAAATGTTTAAATTCAAGCTTTACAATCTTAATGCCTTACTATATTTCTTATTTATGAGATTTCAAATTAATTTGTCTTAAAAATGCTTGCCTTTATATTATGGTGATGAAATTGTTTGCTGCACAGAGGTGATATAATGTCAAGGTTTTTTGGTGGATCAGGGCCTTGAATTTATTTAAATCATGAGACATCTAAGAGCAACAGATTCAAATCAGAGTTGACCTCTGATGATGTTGGTTTGAGCATTTCATATCCAGGGTTGGATTTCTGTGAAAAGCTAAATACTGGAACTTGAAAAAATCCCAAACACCTAAGTGTTTAATACTCTGTAATTGGTTGATAGAGAAACTCTTACCCCTGGATCTAAAATTTGCAGCTTGGCCTCTTTTCTCTGTAAACCAGTGCATTGTTTACTCTTGCATGTATACATGAAAAGTGTTGTGTTCCTCCACAAAAGGACACCGAGCCTTGTTTCCTCCTGGAGCTGCATAAACCTCATGACATATGGGTCATGTAGCTCTGCAGCAGCTGCTGGGACTGTCAGGTGGAAAACAGTTGATTTCCTTCAGCTGCTGAGTAGCAGGAGGTGTGGGTAAGGATGAGCAATCTCACTGACAGTACAGGACCTTGGGAAGGGGTGGAGAAGATGTGTTCAAGTGGAGGTAAGTATGCTAGAGGGCAGAAAGTGTTGAAGGAGCTCCTTCCCACTTTGTCTCTGGGGTGGAATATTGGACAGGTATAGTGCTTGCTATTTATGGAAAGCTTTGCTTCTTTTGCTGATCTTTTGTGGATTAAAGGAATTTGCCTCAGCATCTGTGCTGAGTCCTGCTGTCCAGGCTGCTTTCCCTATACAATTAGGCTTTGCCAGAGCCAGGGATAGGCTTGCCATCAAATTTAAAGCTTTGCAGCAATTTCATTGGAATGCCAGAGTATGAAGGTTTTACTTGTGCTCAAGCTGCTCTCTCTATCTGCTGCCTGCAGGGCTTTAATAACTGTCTGCCTGTAGAGCAATTGCCATGAAATAACACCTGTAGCCTCTTACCTAAGTGCTTTGTGGCACTGCTTAGAGACACTGAGAGCAGCCAGAATATCACTCAAAGGCTGAATTCCCATTAATTTCAGCTAGGTCAGCATGGGAACCATTACTGTTTGCTCAGCAGAGCCAATGAATGTTTTTGCTGTTCTGAATTTATATTGTACTGATCCAGTAAATATTTTCTGCCACTTGTAATACTTAAAAGCTTGAGTGGAGCTGTTAATTCCCTGTGCTCTGCAGGCTGGTGGATTCCACAGTCAGATATGTTTGCAGGAACAGGCTCTAATTGAGTCTGACCTGTTCCTTATATTTTAAGATTTCTATTGTCTTTCCAATAGTCTCTTTACTTTGATAGTCTGCTTAAAAGTACCCAAACCCTGACAAATAAAGGGGGAGCTCCCCCTGCTGCCCTCGGTGTTACAGCTCACAGTGATAAGAGGGTACTGTATGAACACAGAATAATACAGAATTAAAATACAAAGACAGGTGTATTCTGACTTTATAGCGTATTTTAACCATGAAAACAGTGCTGACTGCTGTGTAGTGTTTGGAGGGTCATGGCTTTTATAACATGAGAGACTGAGCCATGTCAGCACAGAGCATTTCTGCATTTATGAATCTGTGTGCTTTAGCAGAATCACTGTTTTTTGATTAAATCATACAGCCTGTTGTTCTCCTGCATCAAGGGAGTCTTCATGTTGTAGAAGTTTTAAGGACATTTTAGTTGTGCTTGGCTATGGAATTTGAAAATGAAGAGTTGTAGGGGCTCCTTCATATTCATTAACAGTGTGGAAGAAGCACAGCTGTGAATTTATACACTTCCCCACCTGCAGCAATAGCAACCTTTGAATCTTCAAAATAGTAACCCAGACCATTATGTGCCTTCAAAAATCCATTTCTGTGCTTCCCTAGATCCTGAGGCATCTAATTACTGCAGTTGGTTGCAAAGCTTCTAGAAGCAAGCTAATATATAAGCACCTAAAAGTTAAAAAGTAGATATGTTTCTCTGTGAGTTCCTAGCACTTTTTAATGAAAATTCCAAGAATACAAATTTACCCAGTGTTTCAAAGAAATGTTCCAAAAGGGGTGTTGGCTGTTCTGCTAGCTCAGACTATGACAGGTTATTTGGACTGTGAAATAATATGAATATAATACAGTATGAAATTTGATGGTGTTTTTTCAAAACAAATTGTTCTAAAGCAGAGTATTTCTGGCCGTCTGTTTCACTGGAGAGTATGTTTTTCTTAATAGCTTTTATAGTTTCATTCAAATGCTCCAAGCACACGTATTTCTCACAAAACCAGTGCCAAGTTTTGGCCATCTCCTCCAGTTAATTATAAAATCTAATTTGCAGTCCCATAGCTGAGAAAAGAGTTTTATCAGCTGTGACCTGAAGATCCAGGACTAAGAGATGGGTATGTTGCAGTCATGTAAAAGGGAGTTTATTTGCCTGTAATATCTAGGACCAGGACAGCTGCACCAGCATGGGAATTTCAGTAAAGCACATCAGAAAACCCCAAAGTCTACATGAACCCATTTTGGTTCGTAGCTGTAGATCTCAAGCTTCAATGAGGCTGTGACTGGAAATGATCTGATGGATCTATCTGTTCTGGTAAGAATAACTTACTGACAGGGGTGGTGCTTGGGATGGCTCCAGGGACAAGGACTGTCAGTGAGTGTGAAGAGCTGAGCTCTCCTGGAATTAATTACTTTTAGCTGCTCAATGAACTGAAATTGGCTACTCCTGAAAGTACTTGTAAGTTTTCTAAGACTTCACTAAATTTCACTAAATACACCCTGAAACCATAAATGAGTCTAATACACCACTAAAGATCCAAAGGCAGATAAAGTAAGGACTCTCGCTGTTAGGAAAAATGCCAGAAACCAATGACATTCAATTAGGTATCCAGATTTGATTTCCTATTGTATTAAAATTGCCTAATTGCCTGTGAAAATTGTCTGATGTGTTATGGGTTAAATCTCCTTCTTGGAGAAACAGCTTTGCGAAAATTGAGTTTGTGGCCAGAATCTTTGTTTGCAAATTGAATGTTTGTTAGGGTGGAAAAACCATTTTAAAATAGAACTGATTGTAAACTCATAAAATTATCTCATAAGAGATATCATGTCTAGCACCTGAGTGAACTGAAAAAGTTAAAGGTTGTTGTCTTCCCCCTCAGTGACTTGTAAAGGACTTTCATCCTCTTTGCTTAGGACTGAAAATGAGCCTGTTCTGGCCAAATGAATTGTGTTTGCTTTAGCATTTGTAGTATTAGGATAAATATTTTTAACTCAGATAATTTTGACAGACCAGGCTAAAAAATGACTCAGTGCTTTGTTAAACTAGAACTCGTACACATCCACGTTTCAAAGAGCCTCTTGAGTGGACAGAGATGCTGCTTCTGTGCTGGCTCATCAGGTGTTTTTAGCCAGGAAAGAAAATTCAGCAGCTTCTGGCTACTCTCATTTTGTGATCTGATTGTTTAGTGCTTTCTCCAGACACAAGCTTGCTGCCAGTCTGTGTCACAGTGACTTACACTGAGCACAGCCTTTCACAGTGTTTCTCCATAAAGGGCACCCTTCAGTGGGGCTGCAGCAATGGGTGCACAAGGACCTGAAGCTATTCCTGGCTTACTCTTTCCTCTCTCTGCTTCCTCACTGTTATTGCAGTGCAGCTAGGTCTTCTTGCCAAGTGCTGCCCAGAAATGTAGATGAAATTTTCCCAACTGCAGCAAAGGAGAGAGAACATTGAGCACATTAATATCTTATGATACAGGTAGACGTCCAAATGAAATGTCTCTAATCAGCCATGTAAGTGGCTTTCAGTTCTACTTTTTCTGGGAAAATGAATTTATAGCAATAATAGGACATCTCTAGTGCAGGAGGCCCTTAAAGTAGCCAGGAATTATTTCTTTCCTTCATTGCAATGGGTTATTTTTGGACAGATTCTAGCCTTGGGTGCACACTGCTGCACAGCTTGAAATATCCACCATGGCAGTTCTGCAGATCTCAGCACATGGGGTTCTGCTCAGGAGTGGTTCTGCTAACAAAGAACAGATCTTTGTCCAGTACCTTCCTATTTCCATGTTGAGATTTGCCAGATTTGATTTGTTGTTGTTTTCTGTCTGGAGTGTGACACACTAATTTAGCTCACTGCACTTCCCAGGCTGCAAGCCAGGATGTGTTCTAATAAGAACATGTCCTAGGTAATAAAAGCACACATGGTGCAGCATTTGAGACACTCCAATGTTCTCTCTTTATGTTACACCATTGTGTAACCCTCCTTGAGTACCTGAAAAATTCAAATTAGATATTTAGATGAGGGGAGCAGAAGGTGAGATTGTATTGGCACTGCTGTAGAAAAACACTGAATAAGAAAGCTGATTCATCACCTGACTTGCTTCCTGGTGAAAAGGGATGAAGGAAGGACCAAGGAGAAGACCAGCATCAGTCCTCCAGAGTGAAGAGATTCCAATTTGTGTCCTCACAGAGAAGAGGAGAACGGAGAACTTGTTCTTAAAACTCAGTTCTTAACAGGGATAAAAAAAGTGGCACAATTTAAAGCCAGTGGCCATTTTTTCATTGATTTGCTGGATGTTGGAACAGGTTCACATGTCTGCAAGGTAGTGATGATGTGGTTTAGTAATCTCAGAGGAAAATGGTCTCTCAGCATTTCCTTCTCTTCTTCCCTTTCTAATGGAGTATGACATGCAGATCTTAATGACATGCAGATCTTCCCAGGAGGATGAAGAGAGCCAGGCTGTCATGCCAGCTTGCATGCAGAGCAGTGCACAGGGGATGCTGCCTGCTGCACACCCAGACATCTCCCCACTAAAAACTCCCCTTGGCAGAAGGAGAATGGCTCAGATGAACTTATGCCCTGAATCTGCCAGCACCGATGGAAACTTGGCCTGTGACTACACTAAAAGCAAGATTTGGCTTTGTTTGCCATTTTAAGCTATGCAGTTTGGTGATCACATTGGATCAAATGGCTGCTGATGATCTGGAAATGGGTTTGGTGCTAGGCCAGGTTCTGGATCAGGCGTAAAAGCCTGGGCCAGGTGGCTCTGGTGAAGTGGTGAGGGCTGCACCGAGTCAGCTGGATGCAAAGGAGGCAATGCTTTTCTCCCCAGTGTTTTTACTGAATAAATCAAGAGCTACCATGAAGTGGTTCTCCCTAATGGACAAGTGAAATGAAAGAATGTGATCAGGAGGAATCTTAGATGAGAAATTAAAAGCAAAGAGGGGGCACAGAAGACTCTACATTTCAGACCCTGGAGATGTGGGAGCTGTTTGTGACTCTAGCTCTTAACAGACCAGACTGGCTGACCTTTTGAAACGAGGCAAGGTAGAAATATTTCTCACACCCTTGTTTTGGGCAGTTAAATCCTTATTTGAAGACCCACAACTTTTGTGACTTTTCCCCACTAAAAAAAAAGAAAATTGGGAGAGAATTGTTGTTAGCACAACTGTATTAGGAAAGTAAAGCTTGGAATTATGGTGTAAACTACTGTTGTTGAGAAATTTTAGAACACTGTCAACATACTCTGTTCATTACACTAATCTGCATCCATTACTGTGTAGCACTTGGTATTTATTTTCCTTTTTTGCTGGAGGTAACTCACTTTAAGGAGTAGTTGCTCCATCTCGTGCAGAGACCTTTTAGCAAAGCAGTTCATAGCGTGATGAGTCTCACTGTGGGTGCTGGCACAAGGCAGTCTGATGAGCAATAAGCTTTAGTTGTTAATGTCAAAAGGTAGAAACAATAATTGAATTTTCCTCTGTGAGAGGACTAGCAAATAACCTTAGGCAAGCACAGAGCACTTGAAGAGAAAGAAAAGGATTATGGCTGGGTGGGAAATGTGACAGTTACAGGTAGGGCAAGTTATGTAGAAAGATGCTCTCTCCAGGCAAACAAGTTTAACATCTTTCCCCTGTCAGCCAGTAGATTATGTTTTTGATTGTTAATCCCAGATAAACTCCTCTTTGGGAAGTGACCCTACCACACATTCTTGCCCACGTACTTCTCCAGCAAAGTGGGTATTTAACAACCTCATTTATTCTCATTTGCCTGCTCAGTAAGACCTGAGACTCTCACTTCGCTGCAGAAGCTGAAAAAGGAAGAAAAAAGTCTTGCTGCCTTTGTCCATGTGACATTTCTGAAGTCTTAATGATGTCTCCATTCAGCAGGTGCTACCTCGACATGTGCCTGTGTGTGGCGGACAGGGACAGCCCTGCGATCCCTCTATTAGGCTTCTCCATCTGGTCATTTTTCTGGTTTCTAAAGTACTCCTTTCCTTTGCAAGGGACTCCTCTCCGTAACCACAACATGTCTTCATCCCTACCGATGTTATTCCTTCATGTAAAACCAGGAGAAAAGGTCAGCTAATGGTATAAACCCGTTCAGTTCACACTTCCTTCCATCGCCCTGTTTCCTCTGGCTCGCTGCTTTGGGAGTGGTATCCATGTGTAATGTCACAGCCAAATATATTGCATTAGTGCTGGGATGGAAGGGAGGAATAACTGCTGGGCAATTGCAGCTTCCAAGTAGTATAGTGCACAACACATGCTGAGAAGGTTCACACAGTCTGGGTCCAAGGCTGTGTGTGAGCTGGGTGCTCTAAAATAACCTGGCCTGTCATTACTGCCTTCTGCAGCTCTCCCTGCCAATTGGAGTCGCTGGTAATTAATGGGAAACGAGGCATCTGGTGATTTCAGTGTTTCTATATTTGTCTCAGGTTTTCAGATGAGAGAAGGACTGAGGGAAACACAGACATTGATTTTTCCAGCTCTTAATGTGGTTGTTAACAAAAGCAAACACACAAGCTTCAAATCTCTGGTTACAGTGCAGAGATATTTGCTTGTGAAACACTCTGTGACAGAGCTTTTTTTGAAGGTGGATTTGTGACACTGAGGCATTGCCTCTTTGTCATTTTGACCAGAGAAAATTAGAAGCAGCTCCACCTGACACTGATGTGCAGTAGTTGGTAGCTCATGCCAAGCCTGCAAATCCAATGTTTGACTCCAGAGCCTGGGTTTGATTAGAGGTGGGTTTGTACCCCACAGGGTAGTTTACCAAGCCAAGCAATGCTCAGCTTTCAGTTTCATTGCAGGCTAGTGTATCCATGCTGAGATAATTGAACTTTTCAAGTTCCACATGTTGAATGTGTGCTGGGCAGAATTCTGAAGGCAGAGTCGTGTTACAGCTATTTAAATAAATCCCAAAGCTGCCTTCCAGTTTTGTGCATGCAGATTGGCTAGAAACCAGTGTTTCTTCCTCCGTTGTCCATGTAATGGAAGATAAGCTTTTGGTCTGACCATTTCCTCTTGTTTCTCTTTGCCAGGCTGTGAAGAGTTACTAAAAGATGTCCTGTCTCCTGAAAACTCTGAGCCCCAGCACTACCAGCCACAATATGTTGATTACTATTACCAGGTAAGAGAAGCATTATTCGGTCTCATGTTAGTGGGCTGAGGAAGCCTCTGGAGTGATGTGTAGTTGGATCATTGTAAATGTAGTTGTTTTACTTGGCCTATTGACTCTTCCTTCCTAGGTTCATGGTTGTTAGCAAGCCAGCCATACTGTTTAACTGCATTTAATACGGGTTAACTGGTGGGAAAGTATTTAGCATTTAGGTAATGTTCCTCTTACAAGCCTGAGCATTCACCTGGCTGTGAAGGGAGATCCCTGTACAAGCTCGCTGGCACCTCACAAGTGGAAAACACTGATTTGTATGTAATTAAATCAGTCAAACTTTGTAGGTGAACAAGTCCTTTGGGACCTTCTGCAGATAATAAACAGGGCCTCAACACCTGTTGGGAAGCAGAAACAATACACCATTGGAAACCTTTGCTATTATTTTGGCTGGTGGGTGTAGCATATTTTAAACCATTAAAGGTCCTCATTTGTATCCTTAATATGTCAGTGTCTGTGCAGCCTAAGAAGTAGAGCGCTGCTAAGTTTTCCTTTTAGCATCTCTTTGTCCCTTCTTCACTTTACTTTGGTTTTAATCACCTCCACCCAGTAAAGATTAAAGGTGCAGTTAGCATCGTGCTTTCAGAGAAGGATTGTGTGTCAGTGGTGTTACAGACTGCAAATGATACAGAAATCAACAGGAAAAGCATTTTACCTTCACAGGTAGTGAAGTGTGAGGACAATTCTCACGTACTGAGGAAGGATGTGATAAGTGTGCTGGTGAGCTGCAGTTACACAGAAGGGTTTCACTGGCCGTACAAAAAATACAGAGACATTTCCTGCACCTCAGTGCCCATCGCCACTCTGCTTGTTTCTAAACCCCTGGTTTTTGTAACTGATGACACAGATACCCACCATGCTGTTGCTTGGTTACCTTAATGGATGCCATAAACCAAACTCCTTGGTTTGCAGTGGCTGATAGAGGCTATAAAATGCGAACAGGCTCTGCACACAGTCGATGTTCCCCTGTTGCTATGCAGACTGGTTCTGACACTCTTTAAATGCAGGTGACAGTTGGGTCTGTTATAAGTTGTATTCCTTAGAGATTTCACATCTGCTGTCATGCAGAGATGTGCTGGGAAGAGCTCTTGAAGACAAACTGCAAAACTCTGCAAACTGCACCTCTTCTGCCATTCGTCCTCTTGGAGAGCCTGAGGGTTGGAATTGCAGTTGCTAATCCTGGTAACAGCTGCTGAGTTTCCCATTTGAGTGCTGGATTTGTGCGTCTGGGAGAGGGAGGGGGCAGAGGGCGACCCTCCCTGTTCAGAAAGAGCTGATGTGACCCTGCTGTGCTGGAAGCCTTGCTGGTCACTCCTGATGTCCACCAGCCCCCTGGATGGTCCCTGCAGGGGGTGGCGTCACTGCAGTGGGGTCCTGCAGCAGTGTTTGTCAACTTTAATGGACCAAGTGTGGGATTTGTGCAGCCTGGGAGCAGAACCAGGTCCTTCCACACCTGCCCAGGCCAGGTGAGCTGTCGTGGTGGGAGAGAACAGGGAATGGTGCGCACTGTTGTACATCCCACGCTTCTCCCACGGCTCTTCTGCACCGCTGCTCTCCAGAGGGGCTGGTTCCATCTCCCATGGCCAGGTCCTCCAGGTGCAGTTTGGAAACTGTTCGCTAGATGTCAGCTAAAGACAGGGAAAAGGCGTGAACAGCCTCTGCTCGTGCCTTAAGGATCCTCTGCTATGGCAGGAAGCTGGAATTTTCTAGCTGATGAAGCTGAGGAAACCTGAGGGTTTGAGGCTATCACCATTCATGGCGTTTGTTCCCCCTTCCCAAAGAAAAACATACGGCAAACGTATAAGCTGTCCTTGCATCTCCCAGACCTTAATGAGTGTAAATTCCGGGTGCTGTAATCAAGTTAGTGAGCAGCTCCCATTGGCACAAATGGTAGTTGCCTGTCTAATCTGATTTTCAGTCCTTTGCATGTCTCTCTAATTCTGAGGTGCACTCAGATTCCCAGGCAGCAGGAGGACACAACTGCTGTGATGGTACAAATAGATACTTTAAAAGGGAATGCAGCTTTTTTATTCCACCCAAGGGGCTGTGCTTGCACAAAGGCAGGTACTGAGCTGGTTCATTGTTATGCTGTCTCTGCACTGAAGACTTGAAAGGAAGTTTTCCGTCCTCTCTTTCACTTTTGCTTCCCCTCCCAAGAGCCCCCTCCCTGTATCGTATCTTTCTGAAGCCCAGAGGCAGCAAACAGAAGAGGTAAAGGTGATTCCAAGAGGTGGGATGAAGTGGCAGGAGCCACTGTGAAGTGCTGAACTGGTCCAGCTGTTTGCATATGTTGAGTCAAATGGGGAAGAAACTGCCAAGCCTCCAGCCTTTAATTAAAATCAACTGAGTGCAATTAATTTAAAGGGATTTTAATATAAAAATCCCTTTAAATTATTTTTTTTTATATAAAACCCCCTGATACCAGGAGCGTGGGGCATTTCATTTGACATTTTTTTAAATTGTCTGATTTTACTTTTTGTTTTTCTTTGGTGTAAACAAAGAGCAAAAGCCAACAACCTTTTAATGGCTGAAGACTTTGTCAAAAAAAAAAAAAAGGCAGAAAAAAAATCGTATTGTGCATGCAATTCAAAATGTAAGGGCCATTCCATGGAAGGTTCTTAATGGCCTGTATTGAGAGGCTGTGTGAGTGATACCACAGGCAAACAGAGAGCTCTGCCTTTGAGCTCAAGGCTGTTAAGGTGTGATATACAGAACATAAGGAGTGTAACTTTTGTGGGTTGCTGCAGGATGTCCCACTGACTTCCATCAGCGTTGATTCTGGCTGCAGAGTGTGTTTTCTCTTTGGACCAGAGACAGCTGGTCCAAAGAAACTTAGGAGGATGGGATTGCAGTTAGGAGATAGCAGTTCTAGAGCCCTTCAGCTTTGGGACCTAGAAATAAACCTTTTCTGTCTGTGAGTTGAGTCTGTTGATCTGGTTAAAGTCTGAATTGTGCTCCATTTGAGGCACTGCTTCAGTCAAGTGCTGTTCATTAGTATAATTTCTGTCTCTCACAGCCTTTAGAGAGGTAATAGAAATACTCAGAATTTGCCAGAAGCCATTTTGTCAATCCCAAATTCCTTTCCCAGTGATTGCTGCTATGGCCTCAGCTCTTGTTTTGGCTTCGGTTTGAAGCGAGACAAAAGTCTCCCTAGTCCAGTTTGCTTTGTGACGGGCATCTAGTAGCACTTCAGAGCCCTTGGATAGCCTTTTGGAGATGGTAACCAACACAACGTCCACAGCTGAAGTTCGTGTGTGAAAAGCCAGGCCCAGACTGAGCCAGCTCAAACAAAGGCGAGTGCCTGTGTCTCGAATTTCCAAATGGCTGGCTGCGGGCCTGGCCGGGCGCCCAGCCAGCCGGGAGCAGTAGCCACGGGGCTCGCGGGGAGCTGGGCTGCCTGCATCTGCGGCTCGCTGGCCAAGATCTGCAGCGCAGGCCCTGAGAAGCATGGGCTGGGTCTGCGTGCTCTTCTGTCTGAGCACCTAAGCTTAGGGAAATGGGAATCAGAGCAGGAGCTCCTTTGTCAGCTCTTCACCTGGTGTATTTTGGCTGCTCAGATTTGAAGGGAGCCTGACTCTAGACCACCCCAGTAGGTGACAGAAGAGGGGGCTGAGTGACAGAGCCTCTCACCACCAGCTAGCAGGGCACTTCTGAGTGTTCCTTGTGAAGGGACAGGCTGTTTTTACATGTGAGTTGTTGCCTTTTCATCTGGAATCAATGGCCAAAAGCCGTATGTGCAAACCCAGTGGAAGAGCATATTGTAAGGAACAATAATGGCAGGTCCTTGTTTCAATCAAAGCTGTTTGTTTCTTATTAATTGTTGCTGTATTGACTTGCCACGTACCTTTTTTTTTTCTGTTCCCATCTGTAAATAAGAGTGAATCTGTCTCTTCCCAAAGTACAGGACAATCACTGCATATCAAAGAATGAGCTGTCTTTTCAGTCCTCCGTGTGTTCCCCTGCCTGCCAAGTGATTAATTACACTGTATGAACAGCAGAAAAATTGTTGAAACATGACAAATAAATTGTGTTTGCCTCTGGGATGGAGCTGGGACTGCTGGCTGCTCTGCTGCTTTGAAAATATTTTCAGTAGCAATTAGGAGTCCCTCACCAGCTTCTGAAAAAAGTTTTTTTTTCCCACTAGCTGCTTGAGGATATCTCCAGACACCTGTGTCAGAGCAGAGGGGACCTTCTGCACTATGAAGACACTGAGATGCAAATGGGTTTTTCACTAGGCTGTGGAAGAAGGTAGCAGGAGAGCCTGTAACCAGAATATTTTGAATTTTAATCTCATATATTCTGTGTTTAGAAGCAATGACTCCACCATTGGAGAGAATAACTGACCTCATTTGTTAGAAGTGTTTTTTTCTTGAGTGTTTTTCCTAACATCAAACACAGATGTTGCTTATCTTAATGTGAAATACATCTTTCCTTCCATCTTCTGTGGCAGCAGTAGTGGAGACACTCCTATCTTAAAAAAAAGTACACAAGTGGTTAAGGTGGAAATACCTTTTCAACCAATGGCCAAGAGAAGAAATCGGTCAGTGTGGTAAGGACAAGCAGTATTAAATACATCAAACTGAAGCTTTTTTCCCCTGTTTCTTATCATCCTCCAGTTTTCTCCACCACCCACACACTCTCAGTCACTGCTGGCTCCCATTGTGTTTTCAGCCCTGCAGATGTTCAGTGTGAAGATTCCTCTCCCTGTGCCTGGGACATGGGGTGTTTCTGCCCCCCGGCATCACACAGTGCGCAGCCCTGCAGATGTTCAGTGTGAAGATTCCTCTCCCTGTGCCTGGGGTGTTTCTGCCCCCCTGGCATCACACAGTGCATGTTTGCAAGTTGCTGCCCTTGCCAAGCTGCTGGGGGGCTCCTGTGTCCTGCTGCCACCATGGGACCTGTTGCATCCAGAAGTCTGTGTTAGACCTAGCACTCCTAAATATGCCAGGTTCTCCTTCCCC